CATTACTTTATTTCTGCCAGATTATTTAACCAGACAGTATAAGTTTTAACAGACTGCCAGAAATATGAAGGCAATGTAATTATCTACAGCTAAATTCTTAATATGCCAGTGTCTTGCAACAAAATCCAGAGTTGTACATATAGCAGCATAAACAAGTCATTTAATATATAACAAATTAATTACCTTGCCCTGTTTCACTATGTAATACGGGTTAGAACGTGAAAATCCAGCAGACTCGAGTAGGTTCATCACGTCAGAACGAGGAACCACCTTCTTATTAAGAAAGTATTGATCTTTCTTTGCACCAATAACTCGTCGGAGAAACACCTCCTCCTTATCAATCTACAAGATAAAGTGAAATACAAACTAAACTCATAGTACTAAAGATGATGTAACATGAAGTACTCTAGTAAACTTCGAGAATTGAAAAAAAAACAAGAAGCAGTGCAGTGCTCAGATGTAAATGAAACAGCTAAACTGAATTTTTCTAAGAAATGCTATTAAAGTACAAAGCAGGCCAACTACAAACAAAAATGGTTTTTGAATTACTGAACGACACATCGATACATTCATAGTTTATTTAAAAAGATATAAATGACATAGAAATTATTAAATGTCAGTTACCACAGGAATCATATACCACACTTCAACTATTATGTAAAAAATACAAAGCATATGTAACTTGTTCCAATTAAAACAACTTACAGGCAATCGTCCATCTGTATTGTCAAAGATGATCTCAACATAGGCGTTGAGAACCCTAGGCCCTGTCCCTTCATGGAGTAATGCTTGCCGCTGTTCTGGCCGTAAATGTGAGAATTCATCACTCAACACAAACTGGATAGCTGAACACAAGATATATCAACAAACTGTTAATTGTATGAGAGCAATGACAAAAATACCAATTATTACATTAATTCTACAAATAGAAATAATGGGGGAAAAAAATTATATTTACCATAGAAGAAATTACTTTTGCCAGAACCATTTCGGCCCACTGAAAAAAGTAAAAGACATATTAAAACTAGCAAGGCAATATAGATAATATAATGTTTATGAACATGACCAGAATTGCTGTACAAATAGTACAAACTTCTTCATTATCAAAAGTTTAAACTCATGAAACAAAACCTAGGAGCATATAAGCAAAATGAAGCATAGGAAGTCAATATTAATAAAGCATAATGTAGTTAATATAGAAGGATACAGGCACAAAAATCAACAATCAAGATAAAATAACAAGTTATAACATAAAAAGTTCTCTATCTTATTCAGAACAGAAATTATAACAGTAGTATACCTGGAACCTATTCAGTTCACATATACCGGTATGCAAGTACCTTTAAATACAGAGCCTACTCACCCACAACATTGTGTCTAGGATCAAAAGGTTCAACTATGGTTTGCTCTCTATAACTCTTGAATCCTTGAATAATAACCTAATGGGACAGAAAAAATCGAAATTTGCATTTAAACGAATATGTATAAGTTACAGATCCAAACGAAGGTACTTCACAATAACACACATCACGATTGCATATAAATACACACCTGCTTGATATACATATTACAAAAACAACTTAATATATTAATTTACACCCATGAGATATTTCATCACAAAATAATTATATCTTCAGCTTCATTAAACATTGCGATTTGTTGTCAAACAAAACATCTTTGCGCCATCTATACACCACAGATTATTCGCTGGGTTCTTTTGTTTAGGGTACACGTTGGTGCTTGCAGAGCAACGAATCAATATCAATAATACCTAACACGTCATACCTAAATTCTGGAAGTATGCATGAAAAATATGCTTAATATATTCATCTATATATCACTTATGTGTTACTTTGTTGCTTTTATTAACTCATTAAATAAAAATTTCCCTATTGCTTTCTTTTACGACAGGCTCTTCTATTATGTTCACTATAACGCATATGAGAACACACCCAACGGGTACTTAGGTTAGCCAATGACAAATCGTGGTTTTTGGACGTTAACGCGCCAAATTAAGAGGGCGGCAACACACCCTACGCTAGTTTAAACCAAAATGTTAGCGCCAGATGAAGTAGAATAGTTTCATTATAAAGAATGTTTTATAGTGTAACAAAAAACATGTCCTACTTTCCACACCGTATTTGAATCATGACTTGTTGTGAAGGTACCTAAACACAACTCGCATTTTCAGTCTTTGATATCGGTCTACCTCAAATTATGCAATTCGCAAGGAATATCACTCCCCCCCCCCAAAAAAAAATATATATATATCTGCAGTAATCTCAAGTTTTGTCAAAAGCTGTACCGTAGTCAAATGAGAATCTGGCCTCCACAACACAGCACAATTAAGACGTAGATATTTACCTCTATGTTGGACCAAATTTTGTATCGTTTCAATTGCTCCAACATCATTTCATTTTCTGATCCGGTCCTGTTTGCAGTCTGAATTAGGAAATACCCTTTGGATACAAGCACAGAAAGAGTATCTTCAAGGAAGAAGATCAAAAACTTGTATAAGTGTGCATTTTAAAGAAATTACGCAATAAAGGTACACTTAGAGTTCAAGTCAATTGCAACTTTTGTATTCTACATTCGACCCCCGTGAGCGACCCTGAGTATTTGAGCTATCTGAAGCAAAACCGAAGAAGATGGACGGTCACAATTTGTATTATACAGGAAACGGAGTGACAAAACATTCTGAACTGAACATCAGCAACAATTCCTGAATTTAACCAGGCCTCAATTTACCAATTAAGTTTCCTCATAATTTACGTTTAAGACACGATGGTGACTACACGTAGGCCTATCACGTATTTTACCTTCAGTATCTCTGCATTCTTTCTGAACTGAACTTTGTGCTTCAGACGGTTCAATAAATATTTCATCGTGTTCGTGACTTTACTACCCAATTCCTTGAACTTTATCGACGATCATTAGAAATTCATTGCTCCAATATCTTGTAATATTTTCGGCAAATTCTATCAAAAGACAATTAAATTGAACCATACATTCTTCATAAGTTTAAATCACGGATTGAGCATTTCACCTAGCATCCGCAGTCAGGGCCAGTTCTGAAAGTAATAATTGTTGAAATGGTAATCCGTTCGTTGACTTTCCGAAATGACACTGCCATAGTCATATCACATTTCTGATAAATTAGGATACGTATCCTAACAATTTTATTTATTATTTATTTAGTGTTCTGTCTGACGACAGGTCCATATGAACAGGATCCTTCCATCCTTTTCTCGGATTGGGACCTGTTCATATACGTTCTTGGCAGATGATCCAGAAGTGGTTTGCCATTGCCTTCTTCTGTGTGTGAATGGAGTAATTGTTGGGATGCCACGGAGGAAAACTCCGTGTTGCCTAGACCACGGCCTTGCCCAACACAAGTTATAAATTCGGGCACCGCCGGGAATCGAACCCGAGACCCCAGGATTACAAGGCCAGCGTTCTAACCGCTAGACCACCCTGGCTTCTATCCTAACAATAATGCATCACAAATTTCCATATTCATTTCTTAAAACATGCCGGTTGTAAAAATATCAACTCGATCGATATAACTGAGGATCGTGTCTGATCATCCTGTCGGTGGAAACGAAATTAGGAGGCAAAATCAACGTATTATGATACTCTTAGCATATCCCTAAATGTTAAAATGATATAAATCGGATTTTAACACATTGCTATAAAAAAAGTAATCGAACTTGACATATCCAGGGTTTAGTACTAGGCCATGTCGCGGAATTTCTCTGTGTTATCACACCAATCGCTTGCATTCAGGCTCAGCTCCGATTTCGTGACTCATTAAAGTTGTACATTACTTGACATTTAGGGAGCCTTTAATAAGATATGCTGAGCTACAGTGATGACTCCCACCCACGTTTGTTCCTTAAACACTGACATGAGTCGTAAGACATCGTCTTAATGCACAACGTATCTACAATTCGCAGGAAATAAACACACTTCACACAAGAAACACGTTCCTCATAGATCACCAAAACACAGCTGCCTTATTATGATGCTATTGTCGTGGACTACTATTGTACTTTTTATTACTTTCCATCAAGTTTCAAATGCAGAAGCTGATACTGATTACTCTGGGACAGTGGCCCATTTAGGTGAGTCTGAGAAATTGCAAATCATTATTCACTTTTAAGTTTTCCTTCCATCCTTTTCTCGGACTGGGACTTGTTCATATACGTTCTTGGCAGATGATCCAGAAGTGGTTTGCCCTTGCCTTCTTCTGTGTGTGAATGGAGTAACTTTTGGGATGCCACGGAGGAAAACTCCGTGTTGTCTAGACCACGGCCTTGCCCAACACAAGTTATAAATTCGGGCACCGCCGGGAATCGAACCCGAGACCCCAGGATTACAAGGCCAGCGTTCTAACCGCTAGACCACCCTGGCTTCTATCCTAACAATAATGCATCACAAATTTCCATATTCATTTCTTAAAACATGCCGGTTGTAAAAATATCAACTCGATCGATATAACTGAGGATCGTGTCTGATCATCCTGTCGGTGGAAACGAAATTAGGAGGCAAAATCAACGTATTATGATACTCTTAGCATATCCCTAAATGTTAAAATGATATAAATCGGATTTTAACACATTGCTATAAAAAAAGTAATCGAACTTGACATATCCAGGGTTTAGTACTAGGCCATGTCGCGGAATTTCTCTGTGTTATCACACCAATCGCTTGCATTCAGGCTCAGCTCCGATTTCGTGACTCATTAAAGTTGTACATTACTTGACATTTAGGGAGCCTTTAATAAGATATGCTGAGCTACAGTGATGACTCCCACCCACGTTTGTTCCTTAAACACTGACATGAGTCGTAAGACATCGTCTTAATGCACAACGTATCTACAATTCGCAGGAAATAAACACACTTCACACAAGAAACACGTTCCTCATAGATCACCAAAACACAGCTGCCTTATTATGATGCTATTGTCGTGGACTACTATTGTACTTTTTATTACTTTCCATCAAGTTTCAAATGCAGAAGCTGATACTGATTACTCTGGGACAGTGGCCCATTTAGGTGAGTCTGAGAAATTGCAAATCATTATTCACTTTTAAGTTTTATTATCATTCATATGACTCTAAGAATAAACAGCGATGATATCCTTGAACAGCACTAAGCAACTAATCTTTGTAATGCGGAAGATCTGTTTTCTTTGTGCTAGGGGCTGAGCATTTAAATATTATTTAGACGAGCTCAGTATTAAGGGGTTTACATAAAGAACTTACGCTCATTGCCCTAAAACTTCGAGAGTCTTTTGTTGTTTCTTACAACACTGTTTGTGTTTATAGCTGTAGTGATTGACAAAGAATTTAGAGGGCTGGATTATAAGAACTTGTTGAGGCAGATGAGACATTTCTTAAGGAACGCAACGCATCAACACCTCACACATGGTGAACTGATCACCAAATTCTTCACCAAAACAGACATTGCTGTTGAAAAAGGTGAGATTTATCCACATCACATTAATCTGTTTCGTTTTTGTTCTTTTTGTGCCATGAATTTTTTTCCCTCTAGAATTTGGAACATAAGCATTTGGTTTATATTGGCCTTATGGTTTTGGACTGATTGTATGGATATGGTCCAACTCCTTTGCCAATAATTACAGATTATGTCATTACTTTTTCAGATATCACTGCCTTGTTTAGCATCTTGTCATGTGATGATACATGGAAAATATACAGACGTTACCAAGACTATCATTTATTGCATCTTGCAATAACAGGTATGAAACAATTATTTCATTATATACAGTGCTAAAATTGTATTAACAGAACATCCGTTTTTTTCAGACTATTTACCTATTCGTCTTTGAAATCTTGGTCAATTAGTTGCGTTTTTTTTGAACAGATAAAACGTGGCATTTATACATCAACAATACCTGTACAAACAAGTGTTAAACTAAGCTGTTAATATTTTGTTTCTGTTGCTTGTTATCACACGAGAGCGAATCACACTTCAATCATATTTCTCAAACGGTTTGTCGTATTAAAAATGAATCTAATGCTCTGATTAAATTCTACGAGTTTTATGTCTAGGAAAATGTTATAAGGTGAATAATTCCCATCAAACGTTGTGATTGTTTCGGGACTTAACGCGTCCGAATCTTATCGTGACTATAGATTCTGCTGATTCAGAATTTTCCTGGTTTACTCAGTCTCTGTTCAAATTGATAATGAGCGCCTTCTTCTACTTTTACACAAACGTATCTTGCATTCCAGACCACGGAAAGTTACATCCCACTGTACAATGGATCGATAAATGAAACACTATCTAATTCGTGACATAATTTACAGGCCTTGCTCCAGGAAAAGGACAGGACATGTGAGTCGCTGTTCACGAGAACAGTACCTCTAAGGACACGCGCTGCAACACCGCTCCCAGTTAGACTTCCATAGCCGGAGTAGGTTAGCAATACTAATGCGTCTGTTTTCAGAGGCGGACTGCCCTCGTTTGCCCAGGGACGATGGCCTTACTGTCCCTCTCGTGGCCGTAAACCGCGTGGCATCTCAGCTGATGCTTGATATCAAGATGTCACAACTGGCGTCATGGACCACCTCCATCCTCATATATGATGAATCTGTCGGTAAGCTGAGTGAATTCGGAAGAATGATCGTATAGCAGTACGGAATTTCCTACTTTTATTTACTAAACGTGACAAACAGACGCTTGTTGTATGACAAGGGACCGGAAATTAGAAAAAAAAGTCTCATAAAGTAAATATCACATCGACGTCTCAAACAAATAGGAGGTAATGAGATGTGGCAAGGAAATTTATTTTAAAGACAGCGAAAACCAAATTTAAAAGTAATGCCAAGGAATATCATTGCCATAAATGGAATAGTTTTATTCATCCAGCTGCCTAGGTGAGATAGGATCAGGTCGCCTGCAGCGTCTCGTTTAGGCTACTCTCTTAACATAATAGCCAGAGAAGTTGCCGTCCTATCACGGCGAATCGTGGTGAAGTTTGCAGCTGAGAACCAACTTTCAGTTGTGTTTATTAAATTTAAATAGTTGCGGTTGGAATTTATTTATTTATTATGAAGCTTATGATGAACTCGCACTTATTCATCAGACACAGAGACGGTGCAGCGCATCATAACGAGCTTGTCTCTGCCGACACTTGGAAGGGAACGGAGTGCAGCACCAGTGGCGGTCTTCAAGGTCAATGACACCCAAAGAGAGTGGGAAAGGTACGTTCAGTTGTCAGTGCTGACGATTAACGGTTTATTTAACGTTGCTGCCAGTAGCTCAGACTAAACATAGAGTCGAAAGAAAGATTAATTAATAATGCACTGGAAATAATATCGAAGTAACCGTGGCCTATCCAGGAAGTTTCCAGGAAGAACTGAGAAAATCACAGATGTTCAGTCAGGATAGGCGATAACCAGTTGAGATTTAAACCCGGGACCTCACAAATAACACAGAGCAAAAGTTTTATTAATTACTGTTAATTACTTCACTTTATCACTTTGATTTAGTTTCTGTATTTAGTTCAGTTCTCGCCTGTTACAGGTTTTTGCTGTTAAGAAACGATTATTATTATTATTATTACAGAAGGGCGTCCATCATGAAACTGCTGAAGGACTTCCCTGTGAACCGACTTGGTTCTAATTTTATCGTTGCTGTTTCTCATGAGGTCGTTGGCGTTATCATGGAAGTTGTAAGTTCTGTATTTACACTTTACACTAATTCAGTTACTTAGACAAGTTAAGGAAGGATTGGAGGTTTTCACGGCTGTTATTCCAAAGATGGCTGTCTCCTAGGTCGTAGCGCCGTGTATTCTGGTAGAAGTTTACCAACGTTTCAAAGGTTATTACTGTCTCCATCATCAGGGCGAATCTACCAGAGTACACGGCGCTACAACCCAGAAGACAGCCATCTTCTAAGTTACGGAAGCCTTTACACAGTCATGGGGAACTTGTCACAGAAACAGCTTCCTCTCAAAAACTTTAGGCTGCACTCTTTGGATTTCATCGACCTAAATAACAGTGGTCTCGGGCAGGGAAAGTGGATTGCTAAAAACACACTTCAGTGTCTGGTATTCATACTAAATACGACAAGTGATAGGGAAATAGAAAGTAGTTATTACGCAATAAACAACAACAAATACATATAATAATTAGTTGGGAACCCTGAAGGAAATAGACTATTTTCGAGAACTAAGAGTAGATGTGAGGATGATATTAATTTTTTTAAATATGTTAGTGTGTTGGATTTATCTGGCTCAGGATCTAACCCAGTGAGATTCTTTTCAATATGGTAATTAACCCTTGATTCAATAAAACGTGGGGTATTTCCTGGCTAGCTGAACGAATTTTAGATTTCTAGAAGGGTTGTGCTCCTTCGAATTAGTTTCTGTAATTAGTCAGATACGAATAAGAAGGTTGGTTTGTTTGCTTTATTTTACTGTCTTGTGGTGTATAACCATTTTTTCTGCATAAGTTAAAATGTAAGAATATCATAAGATTAAAATAAACAGATGTTTAAATTTAAAGATGGCTGTCTTTTTGCGTTGTTGCCCCGTGTAGTCTGGTAGAACAACCCAGAAGACAGCCAACTTCAAACTCACAGTCGTGAAAACCTCAAATCCTACATTTTTTAATTTAATGACAGTGCAAGGCGGTGGGTCTGTCGCATCCAGAAACGCAGTGGCTGTACGTCATCGCCGACTCGGACGCGATAATTAACATGTCCGCATTCACATCCCTACTGAGCGAAGGCGAAAATATTGCCTTTGTTCATAACAGCAGATCCAGTGGAGTTGAGTGTGAGGTAAGAAATCGGTGAGACGCTTCTATCGTCTGGAACATTACATTCCCTGGAAATTATTGTAAGCTAAAAACGAGTAATGATGTTGGAAGAATCCTAATTTGAATTTTTTTTCTTTCCAGGGCGGGTTATTATGCCACGTGCACGAATTGCTGCAGAGCTTCGTGGAAGCACTGGGCGTAGTAATTGAGGACGAAGAGGATTTTATCTCTCAGGTGTCAACGGAAGAGTGGAACGCCATCCAGCCATCTAAGCGTAAACGCCGCTCCACCCTTCTCGACCTGATGAAAGTGAGGACAACAGTTGACTAAACCGCTAACAGTTATTTAGTTGCTACTTAAATCGATCAATCGACTATTTAGTCAATAAATGCATACGGTATTTTATCGCCTAAAATTGTTTCCAATTTCTAATATTAAATTTGTTAATGCTAATAATTTAAGATTTACTGCCATGTTTTGGAAGAATTCTGTAATTGTAACAGTGAATGTGTTCCAACTCAAAGGGGGTTGCAGAATGGGGCAGACACTAGAATAAATACGTTGTACTACCGGCAAAGGAGACAGTACGCTCCCTGAAACGTCGGTCAATAAAGGACAGCCATCTTCCTTTTCGCTGTGGAAACCTGGTCTCTCCTCACATAACGTTATTCTGGATAGTATTTTGAATAGGAACAAACGTGTTAAATTTAAGAAGTATTTCTTTGCGATCTATCGAAATATCAAATGTTCCCAGATGCTACGACTGTGCTAAAATAATTCCAATCATGATGAAGGCTATATTTTTCAGGCTCAGCTGATCGAGACAGGACGTTGCGACAGCTGCTTGACTTGGACGTTAGAAGCTGGAGACACTTGGGGGCTGGAATATCAGGAACACGAAGAAGAAGAAACAGGACAGAAGATTGTCAGGCGACTAAATCCTGTTGGACGATGGTCACCACGAGATGGTCTCAGCATGTCAAGCCACCTGTTCCCCCATCTACGAAAAGGATTCGTTGGCCGAGATCTTACCATCATCTCGTTTCACGTAAGGCTTCATGGTACAGAGGCTGTAACTCCTGCTTCTAATTCAGAAAGTTCTAGTTTTGATTTTTGGCCAGGGCATTAAATATCCTGGTATTTCCCGTGGTTTTCTTAGTAACTTCAAGAAAATAATGCGACTATCACAAAATAATCCACGGCACATTCATTCCATGTTCTTCCGAGTTCATAATATTCCTGTTATATGATGCTATATAACCTACACAGTTGGGAAAACGTCTTTAAATAATAAAATGACAATGAACGAGACAAAAGGACACCTGTCTGAAGAAACAGGCTTCCTAGAGTGATCAACTGTTACCAGCGTGAGAAAAACACTAGGCATATCTTATCGATAGAAGAAGGCGGTGAAGAAATCCTACACACACAAATTTCCTGTGCGGGATTCGAAGTCAATAAGTGAAGTCAGTAATAGGTGTCCAAGATAATAATTTATACCACAGTCAGCAATCGCAGGACAAATATTTTAGTCATTAATTGGTCCAGTGCTCTGACCAGATATACTGATTACACCTACGTTACTTTGTCATTGCTGCTTTTAACACAATGAAGTCATTTTCTCCGGTTTCAGAACCCGCCCTGGCAGATCATCAAACATAATGACACTAGTCAAATCACAGAATACAAAGGTCTGATATTTAAAATTATCGACCAACTGGCAGAAAATTTAAATTTCAGGTAAGTTCTGTTTAATTTACAGTAACATGTTATAGCTAATAGGAGTAACAAAAAACAATGTATTTTGTTCTAGATGTCAGTTTTCTTTAAATTGTCAATCAATAAACTACGATTAATATTTCATATTCCTCTTATATGTCCTGTAATCACAATATTGTATTTACAGGTACACTGTAATATTTCCAGCGAATAACATACCCGGATGGACTAATGATTCCAGTTTAATGAAGGATGTAAGTTCCTTTCATTTCATAGATCCTTGTTGCATGACGACTGTAATGGCTGCTCGCTATCCCGTAGCATAAAAATGTGTCTTACATTTTGAACTACAACATATATATATTACAAAGTGGCGGGTCATTAATCGCCCGTAGGAAAGCGCGAGATTATTCTAGACGCCTTTCATGATATCTTTGCTGTAATTCTTGCAACAGCTGAATCTTATACTGAAAAAGGATTAAGTCTTGCGCCGAGATTTGCTGCAACCGTTCGGGTATTAAAATATCTGCGAAATCTTCCATTCTTCAATAAAATCGATAATTTTTTTTATCCTCTCTGCCGGACTGTACAGCTGTTCATAATTTCCCAAGCCTGTCCTTTATTTCCGAAAAGTATAATATACAAAACCAATAAATTAAAAATACAGTTATTTCAAGTGGGATGATTAATTATGCGTTATCCTGCATTCTTTCAGTCTACATCTCTGTGAATTTGAAGCAAAATTCGAACGTGCTGGCATCTTACTTGTTAAAGCAAGACTTTTAATTCCTGAAATTTTACAATTGAGATTGCTAGTATTTTTATTACTGTTATTATCATCGTAATTATCAAAATTTTTACAAAATGTGACTGGTATACGTCCATGAATCAGGATAAAATCCTATCTCCTTGCCTCACATAACAGCTTTTGCAAAATACATTTGAAATTAATAAACAGCTACACTTTAATATATGCGCTGTTCCAAAAATAGCTGTCTTGGGTTTTCTTCGCAAGAAAAACTAAAGTTTTAAAAATTGTTTATATGAGCTTCGTGATTCAAAGAATTACTATTTACTTGTGCTATTTTAGTACGCAGCGAAATTCCTGTCACGCGTTTTCACAGCACGTTGTGAAATAGCTGTTGTGTACGTGCTTCAGCACACGAATCTAAGAAACGCTTTCACGGTTTCTTTACGATATATTCCTACACAAAGCTACAAGTCTATTATTTACTGTAATGCATAATACATCAGATATGGGCCTAAATCGGCAAAGGACATGAATAATGAATGCATGGACGTCCTTACATTTAAGAATAAACACAAATAGTGTCCCATAATGTAAAATAATATATTTATAATTTGTTTTTCAGAGCGAAGACAATAGAACTAGAGCTTTTCTTGTAACTGACAGGATTATTGAAATACTTCGCAGAAAGAAGGTGAGACTATGCGCTAACATACATAAATCTAAAGTATTAACAGTTTACTTTAATATGAAATAATATAGGTTATGGAACTCTACGGTATCCTTAATAAAACATTAATTCTTCAGTACTTACACACTAAATCAAATTTTCTGCTCCACGTGCAGTGTTTTCATAAACCGGTTTTAAAATTTACCATTCAATTTGTTATAAATCGTTAACAACTCGACCGTGGCATTAGGTTATTGCTATTATTATTCCCCATAGAACTAATAATTATAAATTTAAAAAAAAACTATGTTTTAAACATTCAATGCTTAGTATACAGCCGTCTAAATTACTCAGATTTTTTCTGTAGCAGGATCTCATATTTTCAGAGTTGAACGAAACCATTACAATTCTCCTACAGTATGTTCGAAAGAAACACTTCAATACGACTCCGAAATTAACTCAGAAGTAATCATTTGACTACTGTCACTAAAAGTGGAGTATCAGGACTTTCAATCTCGACAGGTTTTCCTTGCAGCGGGCGCTTTTGTAGTGACTCCTAACAGAAAGACTTTGGTCAACTTCACAATGCCGGTCTCCATTCAGACGGCAACACTTCTTACAGCGCGCCCTCGCGAAGTCAGCCGAGCACTCATCTTTATGCACCCCTTCACATACGGTGTAAGTGAAAGCAATTTTACGTCATTTTAACAGTTTGTGTAACACTACAACGCGATCAACGGAGCCCAGGCGAGTGAAGAAGACGGCTGAGAACTCGCAGCGTAGCAAAGTTAATAACGTTGTACTAATGACTTAGAGCAGCGCGGTAAGGAGGGTGAATTCCTTCTGTGGTCTTGAAGCATACAATTTTATGACGCGTATTATAACAGAAAAAAAACTACCATTGCAGTAAACACCGTCAAAGCAAGAAAAATTATGCGAACTGGCCGCAAATTCTCCACCAGAGGATTCGTTACTTTGTTTATAAGGGCCAGCAAGAGATATATCCTAATTTCTCTTCACACACTCGTTAAATAAGTTATTGTTATATTTCACGAATTCAGACAGAATTTCAAGGGCCAATGCTTTCTCCCAGACGTGGGCCTGCATCGCGACGCTGATCGTTATGGTGACGCCTGTTCTCAACTATTTCCACCGCCACAGTCCCTACTATGAGTACTACTCCAAGGACAATGTCAAGGGCGGTCTCAGCTCCCATTATAACTGTCTGTGGTACCTGTACGGAGCTCTGATGCAGCAAGGTTAGTGAAGACTTTCAACCGACTCTCAGCGTCCTTGGTTCCCGTTTAAATAAACATATTTTATGTACACTTAATTTATACTGTTTCTTGGATTAAGAAGGTGACTATCTTCTAGTACGCTGAACAGTATAGTCCTGTAGAAGACGATGTTCTTTTGGGTTGTGACTAGACACGGACGTTTCGGAAAATGTACCTGTCAAAAATTGGAGGAGGAAATAGAACCATGAAAGTAGAAATCCTATGGCCACGTTTCGACATCTCATCGTCCTGATGATAGAGGCAGTAAGCACGTCTCCAGAACACGGTCATCGTCATGACAATCTTGAATCTTACGCACTTCTTGGATTGCAAATGGAGAGCGTGATACATATTATTTTTCTAGGTGGCATGCATCTTCCGGAGGCCGACAGCGGACGCATAATTGTGGGGGCGTGGTGGCTCGTTGTCTTGGTTATCGTCACGTCGTACGGAGGCAACCTGGTTGCTTTCCTGACGTTCCCGAAGTATGAGGTCGCCGTCACGAACTTGGAGGAACTCTTGACGCGACGAGGAACGGTTTCGTGGGGGATCCTCAAAGACACGGCCACAGAACAGCATCTTAAGGTAAGTTCCACATTCTTTCGTGTAGTTTCTTTTAATCATGTTTAGTTAACAATATGGGCGCATTTCGTGGTTTCAGAATTAATCTCTCTCAGGAAACACAACTTCCCAAGTTTATCATTTATAAATACTTCCTATTTATATAGAATGACCAACTTTTAAAACTTTATCGAAATTTGTTACCATTTACATAACATATGCGACATATAATTTCAATATGTTCATTGTGATTCTGACTATCAACTCAGTGGAAATGTGTATGTTCACGTAATAAATAACAACTAATACATTTCTTTGTAGAGTTTAACGTTTTCACGGCGGTGAGTCTGAAGATGGTTGTCATCTGGGTTGTTGCGCCGTGTAGTAATGTAGAAGTTTTCCGACGTTTCAGAGGTCCTTGCTGACTTATCACCCTGATGAAAGAGGCAGCAAGTACCTCTAAAACGTCGATAAACTTCCACCAGACTACACGGCGCAACAACCTAGAAGACAGCCATCTTAACACATTTCTTATTCCGAAATATCAGAACTGAAGAGTAGAAATTTGTGTGTTGGAAAATAGGAGATGGATTACCCCAAATACAAGTCACTGTTCGAGGGTGCCACAATACACGAAGAACAAGATGACGACCTAGTGTCCCGAGTTCGAAGCGGTTCGCATGTTTTTATCGAGTGGAAGCTGAACCTTCTGAAAATTATGAAGAAGGAATTTCTTAGTAAGAACAGCTGTGACTTTGCCCTCGGTGAGTTCTATTGAGTTCCAGTTTTGTTTTGGATTCTTGCCACCAAGAGCTTTAACTTTCCGAACGTGACCTTCAGATGCGTTTTTCAAGGCTCGCCAGGTTTCTAGAGAAATCGTAATTTTTACAACTGTCGGCTACTTCCTCCTCCTCAGCCTGCTGAGTAAGGCAGAGCCACTGATAAATATCCGAGATGGTATAGAACAGAACATCCGAAGCGACTACGCCTTGGTTAATTTAACAACGCTTTTTCAGTTACCGAAGTCACGTAGCGTTAAATAACAGGATTGTCTTAAATGATTTTTATAAAATATGGAAATGGTGGAAGTTTTCTAAGGTACAATTACAGAGTTCTTCTATAGGAACTGAGGAAAATAAGGAATATCTGCGGGAACAGTCGGTATAGGGACCTTCCGAATATTAATAAAGTAAATGTACTTAAATGAACGTATTCAAGCAACATGAGAATGAGTCAATACGAACCAAAACGTGCGTCTGGAACTGGTGTTACTTATATTCTAGGAGATGAAGAGTTTCTGGAAGAACAGGTGGCAATGATGATGCAATTCGGGAGTCCATACCTCGGTTTGGTGAACAGAGAGTAAGTACCGGCCGTCGTGGGTTTTTGTAATATTTTTATTGGCAACTTAAAAGACGGGCCACTGTGTATCTTAACGCTTTAAACTACCAGTAAAAAGCGTTTTGAAAGATTTAAACGTTTGAGAACGAGAATGAGGATTGTACTAAAATGTGGAGAATAATTAATTGGTAAAATTCTTGCTAGAAAGCTAAACTGAGATGGGCGGGACATGTAGCGCGCATGGATGGGACAAGAGGTGTGCACCTGAGGGGAAGAGACCCCTGGGGAGACCTAGACGTAGATGGGAGGATAATCTCAGGCGGGATCTATGGAAGATAGAAGTTGAAGGAGACTGGATTTTGTTGGCCCAGTTCTGGGTCCGGTGGAGGGCTTTTGTTAGTTCGGTGATGAATATTCGGGTTCCGTAATCCATCTAGTTAGTTAATTATGATCATCTAATGATCGGGGCGTTAGGGTGTTTATCGCCAACCCCCTGCCCATTTATTTATCATTCCGTATATTTTAAACCATTAAATATTAACATATTTATAACAACGATTTTTATACGGTTTTAAGTCGTGGTTTCTTACATCGATAAATGTCATAAATTACAATTGTTTGAAAATAAAGTTCTCGGAATAATATCTGGACCTAAGATGGACGAAGTTAAGTGAGCTATTATAAAGAGGGGTTTCCTTATTAATACAAGTCATCAAATGTTTTAAATCTAACGTAAGCTTGAAAGATATGAGAATATTCATCACCCTGATGACGGAAGCAGTATGACCTCTGAAACGTTGGTTAATATCCACCAGACTACACAGCGCAACAACCCAGAAGACGGAAATCTTAAAAATCTTCAGAATACGATGAGTTTGTAATGTAGCTCGGATGTAAAAAGACAGGAGCATGCATTATTTTGATGAAGAAACCTGCTGGAAATAGACCGCTTGAATAATGGCCGAGGGGATTGGAGGATAAGATCAGGATAGACGTTGTGGAATGTGTCGTGAGAATGGAATGTGGATAGAATTGGCTGGTGGGTGGTTGGGCGTTGGTGTTGGTGTTGGCGGTGTTCTATAGGATATTTGTTGGATAATATGTGTTATTTTGGTGCAGGCTTCGTCGTATGCATCAGGCAGGTCTCATCTACAAATGGTACCTGGAATATTTGCCCAGAAAAGATCGCTGCTGGACCACCAACCGACTTTTGCAAGCTACTACCCACACTGTGAACCTGGACGATATGCAAGGTTCATTCTTCGTGCTTGGGCTAGGTGAGAATAGAAATGTTCTAATTTAGGTACTAGTAACAGAATTACGTAAATAGCATATTTCACGCCGTTGTCTGCAGTCTGAACTCCATAGATCTGACAGAATTTCAATGGAGACATTGCCATGAAATCGTTAAAAAAAATGTCATAAGAAATGAACTTTTGAAAAGGAAACATAAATTCACTGTGCACAATAGCCAACCACACAAAAGAATTAATTTTTGATGGCTGAATCTTGAGAATAATTACATGGTACTATCTGATTTTTCCCAAGTAAATGAATAATGCAGACTTCTTTATAAAATTTTGAATCTGAGAAGCTACTCGCACACACAAATAACACTTGATTATGGAGTTTGGTTCTATACAAAATTTAGTTTCTTTTTCTATACTGACCTACGTAAAGTGGTTAAGGAATATAGAGAATTAAGTTTCCTTTACTTTCCAAATTTCTGATTACATTTCAATTATCTAATAATGTTTGACGTAATCTTATAAATTCAAATGCGTTTAATTTCTCATTAACGACTCATTATGTTTCAGGATGCGCCTTCGCAATGGTTCTCATCTGTATGGAGCAGTGCTACCACACGTACAAGATATCTAAAGAGAAACGAGTGATAAAACCATTTGCATCTTAGCTTTTTGTCCAAAACGTTTTACTGAATTGCTGTCTTGAAGAATTTTATTATCAATCTTTCAACGTGAAGTTACTGACGGAAGTTTTGATGGAAAATATACATATATTAATGTAAACTGCATGCTTTATTTTAAATAATATGGCTGATGAGTGGCGAAGGACGTGGAAGTAAGAATTTGTGACATTATTCAAGGTAATATCCCGGCATTTTCCTGGAGGTGCTGAGTAAAACAACAAAAAACTTCAGTCAGAATACATAATTTTCGGACCCTGGGACTTTCCGAATAAAAACGGAAGCGATAATCAGTCAGCCTCGATGCTGAGTGAAAGTAAATATTTTACGACATTGAGACATAAACTCTGGTGTTTCAGGTAAACAGAATGTGTGTCCCACTCAAAGTTCACAAGAGAGAAAAATTATATGAAGTAACCAAGTTTTATTTTCCTTCGTGCGATGGGATGTCATAAACAGACATCATCACTAAACGATTTTATGCGAGTATCCACACTTAAGACAAAAAATGATGTAGTATTTTCAGTAATTTTAATTTCTCTCACGTTTCCTCCAAATCCAGTATCAAAACAAAATTTTTTGTCGTACTGGAAAATATAACACAGGAATATAATCCTATCAAACGTAGTATTTAAAAATCACTACAGCCAATTTTACAAGGTACACATACATTTGCATACATTTGTTAAAATTCCACCACACATTAATTAATATATTTACATACTGAATTGTGAATGACAACACTACTTGGTTATGAATCAGAACAAACAGTAGTGTCTAACCAGTGACCATTGTAAACTACAAAACTATCTTACTACACAGTTTCAACAACAAAGCTAACAGTTATGCATATTCACAAAATGTTGCTTATTCTTAAACACTGGCCCCCAAGCACCATGTTGGGTACTCTTACGATCATGTGTTTTTTGTTCATCTTGTGCTTTCTTCCGAATGGCATCGAATCCAGCTTTTCTGAAAAATAAAATAATGCTAGTCACTGAATTCTTAGCAGTGTTCGCATGTTCCGACTTGTAATGTTTACTGCTTTAAAGAAAATTTATGTCTTACAACGCCTGTACGCATATTTACCTTAAAACAATATGCTCTTTAAAGGATTCTAGAGATCAAAACTATTCCAACACGTTCTGGATAGTTTGGGGTCGTTACTGACGCATTATCCCTAGTGTTGTAAATTCCATTACAATAAAAATTTCTGTGTCAGCTACAAAACCCGAGTGCTTTAGGGACCCACTGGCGCGACTAGTCGCGTGCGGCTAGTCGCGCCAGTGGGTAAGACACAAATTTCGGCGCATGCGCACGCCTATGTCTTCAGTGTTCTGTTACAAATGTAACTGTAACTGTTCAACAGTTTCCCTCTGCTCTTATTTTAGATACAATTAGCTTTATTTTCCTTATACAGCGTGCTGTCACGCCATTCTGCAAAAACTACCATAAAATACAAAGAGCTACACTGACATATATAAGCTTCAAAATATTGTTAGTATGATGAATTCAGTGATAAGATGGACGGGACATGTTACATGCATGGGACGGATAAGAAATAGATTAAATTATACAGGATGTTTCGTTGGCGTCTGCCTGCTGTCTCATAGGAACCCACCTGGAGCTGGAATCTCTGGAGCTTGAATCCCTGGAGCCTTGCTCCAAAACAGATGTGGACGCGCTACGCTCACCGCCTTGAACCATTCTGCTACAGTTCCTATTCGTTCACAGGCACAAACGTGAACCAGCGTGTTTGCTAAGAGACGAGGAAAGTTGCCGTGTACAGACTGAAAACAAAAACGTCTTTAGAGTAAAAGTATCAGCGTACTAGAAGAATATGTTCGCATTACAAGTGATCTGGGTTATATTTCAGTAAGATTCGTACGTTTAAAGTTAAATGTTGAAAACATCAAAACTTTTGTCTCGTTTTTAAATGCCAAATCTTTCGACACATCCCAATATCTAACATTTTTTTAAGATGTCTGGAGATTAATGTAACATTTGAGGAGTGGCATAAGATGATGTCTGATTGAGAATACTTACACTATGGGACGTGGTGTAGTTGAGTGAGAACCTGAAGCTCTAGGCGGTTGCCAGCGTTGCCCCTTCGACTGCCTTTGCTGGTGTACAGATTCTTCGCAAGCCTGCAGACACGTGGTTAAATTTCGTTCAGTACAAAATGTAACATCTGTTTTGTACACAACCACTGTCACGTCAATATAAATGCTATGACAATGAGGATGTCCATCTTCTGAGTTGTAGCGCCGTGTAGCCTGTAGAAGTTTGCCAACGTTTCAAAGGTCCTTGCTGCCTCCATTATCAAGGCGATGAGCCATCGCTACAACTCAGAAGACAGCCATCTTCATACTCACAGCCGTGAAAACCTGAAATCTTGCTATGCTAATTTATGAAAATGGGCCAGCGCTATTTTCGGTCCTATAATTCTTCCGCCTGTTAGAATGCTATTTATAAAATTTATTAAAATTACAGGAAGACGACTGAGTGGTTAGCACTCCTGCTTCGTGTTCAGGAGTCCCAAGTTAAAATCTCAGACCAGAGGCCGGGTTTCCTGACAGGTTTCTCGTAGCTTTCCTCAGTCCCTCCAGGCAAATACCAGGATAGAAACTTAAATAGGGGGCAAAGTTGATTATTTACATAATCTTTCGCATGTTTTAATCATCCTATCCTTCGAATCTATATGTATAGTCTAAGATCGAACAGCATTATTAAATAAACACTAAATAAATTAAGGAACCCAAGTCTCGGTTCAGGTCATATTACACGTCAATTTCAGTTTAGTTTTAAAATTATGACTTACTACGATGTTGTATTTTTAAGTATCATGTCTCTTTCAGTAACACAGATTCAGGAAGGGAAAAAATGGTATATGAAATGACGTATTTCATTTTGGCACTGAAAATTAATACACCAACAAATTCAAAAGAATTTTTTTTGAAGCTCACTTAAATTTAACCTAATAAATTTATACTGTATTCTACAGTTAATTATTTAATCTGCGATTTTTAAAAAAAAATCACAAGTAGAAGTAAAATCTTGGAAAGAGATTTATAATAGCCTTTGGCAATTGAAATGGCATTACATACATGCATAAACTGTAATAATCGTATCAAAGGATTATTTTCAGAATTATGTAGTTAACTTGTTTAGATTTACATTCTGTAGACATGAGTTTAAAATTGCTCTCGTAAATATGTATAATGCTGTAATGTCAATGTTATCTGTCGTACCCAAGATATCTCCATCTGAGGATTTTACAAATATTACTGCTCCATTATAGTGCATACATTTATATGTTCTTGACTTAAAATGTATAATGTAACATCATCATATTCACAGACTATGAGCAATGATTTCTGTGAAAAGTCCCGAATATTTTTAGAACATCATTTCGATACCCTATGAAACTAAATATCTGCACTGAGTTATTTCAAATAAATTTTACAGTGTAATATCCCAGTAAACAGTAATCTTCAAGTTATACAATGTACCGTATAATTACGCATTAACATTCGAGTACCTAAAATATAATTTTTACGTAACCTGAGCACTGAACATCGGTAACACTGGGTAATCATCGATTTGGAAAACTTCTCCTTAGCTGGACTTCATGTTCATTTACTACTAATGCAACTATTACACTACATACAATTCACAGCTTTTGTCAAAAACTATTTAATTTGTGTCCTGTTAAGTTTACACCACATCTTAAATTGTTTCAAATGATTATTGTAGCCTAGATATTAATGAGGTGTATATTTTACGACATATAAGAACTTTCAGAGCTGAGTTGGTTTAGGTAAAGACATAATCGTGTTTTACAAGTTTCAATTCATTCCGAATGGGTTACTCTTTCTATTAGGCGTCTTGAAAATTAGAAGTTTTCAGACTCCATAACATAAAACTAATTCTTACCTTACGGTTGGAAGAAATTTGGAAGTTGCTTGAAAGCCTGAAACTTTGCACTTCATCGACACATAGGAATACTATAAAAGCTCTGCTATTGTTTAGAAAAAGCTCAGAGATCGGCCCACGTTCCACATTCAACTGCTCCCAAGAACTCTGATCTCCGGTATTTAACATTCAAGTTCGGCAGGTTTTCAGTCGTCTTGCAGGTTTCCCCTTCCACCCCCCCAAGCCCCCCCACTCCCGTCACTTTCCACTTAAACCGCATATCATGAAACTTGATTACCCTTACCAATGCTGTTTGTAGCATCGTATAGAATTTGTAGGCAATTCTGCAAGGAAAACAGCACGAAGT